TTTTTTTTTGTGAACCCGGCCCCTGGTCTTGTTTTAGGAAAATCACATTCTGTCTGGCTCCATTCTGATATCCAACACCCACTTTCCACGTGCTAATCATGGTGGATAAAATCAAGTCCCACCCTACATTTTTTCTCATTGAATATCCTGTTTCACTTGAAAGTACGTCATGTTACAGTAGTAAAAGTGAAAAAAAGAGCAGCAAATCATGTTAACTTTAAAGTGCAAAAAGATGAATAATGTAATTTGCACACCATACTTGTTCAAATAATCAAAATATATATATTTTTAAATCAAACTTGAATTGTTTACCCTGAAGCTGTGCGATTACAAGTTATTTTGGAATTTGCAATTAGATTGGGCCTGAAAACAAAAAGCACTCATTAGGAGATCAGCGAATTAATTCTGTGTTGTGGTTTTGAGTGAGGGAGATGAATGAGAGACTCTGATAAGCTCCCTTCTGCTCTCAAACTGTAAGAGAATGGAAGCGATATCTATCTCTGCTTTAATGACTCACTCTGGGTTTAATACTCATTCAGAGGATAAAAAGAGTCAAAAAGGGCCTTCTTAAGAAAAATCAGATTACAAGAAAGAAATACATTGGAATGCTCAACACTTTAAGACATCAAACACCTGCCTCCTTTGCACAGGGCTAAACCTAGTCATAGTCATAGACATCTATAAAAGACCTCTAACGTGCCTGCCTGCAGGGAACAAATTCTGACCAGTCAAATACAATGATATAGTGGATTATTTTAGAATAGGGACCATTCAGGACTCTCAACCAAAGAGAAGTGGGCTAATAACTAACTTTGAATAAACAAATGTCAAAGTTAGCATGGTGGAGCACTTGCTCTACATCTCTTACTAAATACTCAGCCCTTTAAGATGGCAACACAATGAGCAACAATGAATAAAACATTTAATAATGTGCTGTATTAGAGCATCCCGAGGCATTTTACGATTTCAACCAAGTTAAAGCCATATACAATGCATCTGTAAATGTCAAACGGGCGCTCTCCCATTCAAGCAAACTTGATTTGTTGAAAGAATGCAGCATGGGAATTTAATCCAATTGTGAGAGATGAAAATCAATCTTGGCTGATGCTGAAATGATATGGTCTATTGGAAGGGTCACCTAATAGGAAAATATCTCGACTCAGCTTGTTCAGAATTAGAGACTGCCACTACCTCCAGGTGAGCGCATGGCAGGTGGGCCATTTGTGTGAGCAAATTACGTTGCACTCATTAACTGTTTCTCTGAGGTCATTTATCAACATGCTTCTTGCTTAGCTTAAGACTTTGTAAAACAAAAACTGAATGCGAAACAAAAAAAAGTGCATCCCAAAATTGTGGGTGACTTACATGAAGGCATGATAGATGAACGCCCATCCTCTGGGTCTCTCCAGCACGTTGTACAGGCAGTTCTGTAACTTTCTGTAGCGTTTGCTGGAGGCAGAAGTGGTCGCCCTCGGGCCCGGTGGCACCGGCAGCGGTGTGCCCAGTAAGCCGGTGCGGTGAGACGGGTGTCCGCGCTCTGGGGTCGATGGCTCGCTTCTTTCAGTGTGAACAGCCGTGAGAGCCACAAACTCAACCCGCCTGTCATCATTGGGTGCAGGGGGGGCCAGCATCCTAATGCCTCCGTTATTTGAAGGGCTACCTAACATTATTGTGTTGACACAAGCAAACTAGTGCACCATTTACAGCAGAGATTAACCGATATTGTTTTTTCCCCCAATGAACGAAAATGATTATTTGTATTTGTTTAAGTGTCCTACAGCTGATCCGCAGAACTGTTTTTTAAATTTTATTTAGAATTTCTAACACAATGATAGCTAAATAATTATCATACTACAATAAAAATACATTATTTTTAATAATAATATAATAATAATTCATACTGTGATTTGTTATTATTATTATCATCAATAATACACTTTTTTACGTTTAGTTGCAAAGATCACCATTTAAATTAAAATTCAAACTTAATCTTGACAAACACAATATATGGACACTTCAATTAAGAATGAATATCTGTTACATACAAAGTTGAATAATTTATGCAAATAACCATAAAAATTAACGCTATTTTTAGAGACCTACTGGAATTTATCGGTGGGCTCGATGTTAAACAACCGATAACTGATTAAGTAGAAAAGTGTGAACACCAGTAAATAACGATCTCTAAAAGCCTATACAGTAAAACTTACTCTATTAATCACTTCCAAACTAAAAAATATTTGTTGTAATCAGCAAAATAAGAAAATAACGTATTAGGACATTTAAGTCAATTACTAATTAAACTTAAAGACATTTAATCCCTTTAAAAGGCAACATGCTCACTCTACCAACCTGCAAGTGAATAGGCTAAACGTGGCTTACTCAGGTGAAATAGTTGAAAAGCCTTATAGAGCGCGTCTACATGTTATTACTGTTCATTTAAGGTCATTATCACTAATCACAAAGACACGTTCATTAAAGCCCTGACTCCACGTTAATATGCATATTTCAGCTCAGTTTTCATCTTAAATCGTAACACTTCATGGTGAGTCGCTAACGTGCGAATTAATTACTCAAAAGTTTTGGAATACATCCAGCGGCACAAAAAAAAAAGAAGCCCAAATCATTCCACAACTCAAGTTTTCCTGTCTAAGCACACAGCAGAAATGTTTAGAAGTAAACGACATGCCCAGTTTTCCCCCTCTGGAGCGCGATGCTCATTACGGTTCTTTGGGGAGGAGCGGAGCCGGTCCGTGAGAGATGAATTCAAAGTAGTGCCCGTAGTTCGGTCATTTCAAGACTGTCCCAAAAGTCCGTGACATATTATAGAGTCCAAGACGCTCAGCGGTGTAGACGGAGAGAGTGCGTAACCGGCACGTGCTTCGCGCAGCGCGATGTTGATGAAAGTGAGAGCAGGATAGACGCGAGGAGAGGGAGGGATGGCTGGCACCGCCACCAAATTTAGATGAACGGATTATGTTTTCTGTTTTCCCTCAGGACCAAGTCACATCTTTTCCGAGATTTCCATTGAGGTGTTCGGCACGACGAATGCAGATGCTACGCCGGGGTTTGGCTCAGAGACATGCTTTAACAACAATAAAGCGCATGACCCGTGCAAATGCTCCCTCAGTGAGTCAACTGTCAAAACAAGAGTTGCTTTCTCAACACAGCGTGTGTATTGTGGGGGTTTGGGGAGGTCTGGCTCCTCTAATAAAGACTCGAACCTTCTAAAAGAAATTAACAAACATTTTAAATCAATCTCACCGTACCAAAAAGTCAGTCATGGCACGTAAAGCTGAGGAGGTAACGAGTCGGTTGATATATCGACCAAACATGACAATTAACATAATAAATAAATTGATAAACAACTAACTACGTTTCCTACGATATTATAGATTTATGAAATGAATTTCTAACAAAAACTAAAGTGCGTTTGTTTAAAAGGTCAAATTAATTAGGCTACGTTAACATACTGTGACGCCAAATGACAGATTTCTGCAGGAGACTAACCTCAACAATTTTGCACCCTCAAAACTACAAGAAAGTATAATAGAAAATAAAAATATAAATCCCCCTTGTTGTAGCAGCTGTAATTCACAAACTGTGCAAACATCAAACATTTATCAAACTACATGCTGGATCAATGTACTTCTGTGTAAACATGCACTCAGTCATATCAAGAGAATCAATCAAAAGGCCATCTTGTTGCTGTCAAGGCCAAGATTAACCCTCTTGAACAGGTGCTGGGGATGTGCTGTACAGTATTCTAAGCTCTGGACATGTGCTTCAGTAAATGCCAATATTGTCTGCATGTGTCACCTAACCATAAGGACAATAGTAAAATAAGAATAGTAATAGTCTCTCATCACTCTGTTATATTGCAGTAAACTATGGTTATAAAAGTTAGAGAATTAATGCCTAAGTTATGTGGTGTTGATGGCTGATGATGGCTGATGATGGAGCGAAGAAGAGGGACATCAACAATCGATACCTTGCATTTAGTTTATGTGATTTTATGCAGACCGTTCCTAATGGCTTCGGCTGCTGCTGCTTTAGAGCAATCGAATGCATTAGTCCTTTGCCTCTTAAGCCCTATGCTTTATTCCCTGCATGCACTCTTGTGCAAGTTTGCAACATTCTTTCATAGTGAACCCCTTGTTTTTGTTTTTAAACTTAATGACATTTCAGTGCACATTCATTAACCACTTATTTTTAAAGCTTTGGAATGAAATGTTTTGTGCAAATGAATGAGGGTGAAAAAACGAAACGCTATTCATTTTTTTTACTTTTAAATGCATCCATCCATTTAGTCGGGAAAGAAGTGTAAACGTTTACAATGATACTTGTGGCACAGACAATTCTAAAAATGTTAGGGGTTACTTTCCACATCAGGTGAAATTTTCAAAAGGGAAAAAGCTAGTCTGGACACACTTATCCATAGCATTCCTGCAGCTCAAACAGTAGAATATGGCACTAGCAACGCCAAAGTCATGGGTTCGATTCCAAAGGAATGATTGAACTGATAACGTGTACACCTTAAATGCAATGTAATTTGTCAAATGCATAAATGTAAAAGTAATTATATCCTGAAAACTTTAAATAATAAGTAAATAAACAATAATAGCAATTAAAATGTAATCAATATCAGTGCAGATATGATTGGTTAATTATTTTGATGTAATATGGGTTAACATTAAACATAGAGTTTCTATGTGCTTCTCTTGAACATAAGACTGGTTCTTGAAGAAACCAATAAGGACATCTGCATGTGACATGACAAGACTGAACTCGGTTTTACTTAATCGCATATAATTTGTTAAATTCTAATCTGTTTAGTCTTTATGTAAGTGTAGGTGACCCACAGCAACCTCATAGGATTAACTTCAAACGTTTCACAAGAGAGAATCAATCAGGGTCCACCTACTCATAAACGAATAGAGTCCCCTCCTAATGCCAGCAATTAACACGAAAACCGACTGATACAAGTCCCAAACCTCTAGCCCAGAATTCTGATGACACACGGCAGCTGGGCAAGGTCAGTGGACACGGGAGAAATGCACTCGTTTCTTTTGAGGGCCAAATGTCACTGCTGAGACAAATCTACTGAAAGACATAAACACCTTCTCGCATTCCTTTGGCACATGGGTGCAAATAGACAACAAATGTGATGAGGCAATATGGGAAAACTTCGAGCTCTTTACACATAAATATTCACACTCACAGGACACATTCACTCACGTCCCAGAAAGCACTGTGTTATCCAAAACTGAACGCCCACAGAGGGACATTAGGAGAATTTAAAAATACACACACATCAGCAGGACTGGTAAGACCTCAGGCCCTCACTTCCGCTGTACTCTGCAGAACACGGGTGCTCAGCAATGTTTCCCACACCAAAAATATTGTTTAGCTCATTAAATGGTTTCTTTTTCATTGACTTCATCAATACCTCCTTTTTTTACAGTCAACATAAAACAACAGATGTTCTACAACTGGTCTTGTAGATGTCAGGTGAATTGCAGTCATATGAGTTTGTACAATTGCATTTGTGTGATCTGCTTACGCCCCACTGATGCTTAGGGGCTTAGACACCTTTTCATACGCTTTACTATTACTATTTTTTTAAATCACCCATTCCCATACGAATTACATCACAAGAATTAATGTGAAATATGCACCTTGTAAAATAGTTGTTTTTCCAAATTTCAACTCAATTGCATCTTTAACAAGCCGATGTGCTCATTTTGCAGCATTTTGAGAGCTTCGAAATCATTTCACAAAACAATTGCTTATATTGATTAGTAGTTGTTTAAAAGCCTCCTTTCTCCTACCACTAGTGAACCCCAATGCACTTTATTAACTGTTTTGCAATGAAACAGGAGCCCAAAAATAATCACAAGAAGTTCAAGAACAGTTCAGAACCATTAATAATTAAATAAACATGACATAAGGCAAAAACAGCCCCAAACAAATTCAACTCACAAAAGAACCAAGCTGTTTTCAAACAACACTAGACCAAAGATAAGACATGAGAATTTGTACAAGCACATGGGAAACAAGCTCAAAAGACACATCTACTACGCAAAGACTAAACAGGACTGATGAACAGCAACCAATAACAACAAGACAGGACTAAAGAATAAATCAATAGAAGAGGAAGAGGAAACGTCAACAATGGCTGAATTCGGAATAGCATAATATCATATTACAAGAGAAATAGTAAAAGTATGCTATTCCTTATTCAGCTATGACAGGAAAAAGGAAGATACAACATAATGAAATGAAACAATGATACAAAGACCTAAAACCTTTGCAGAACCAAGTATGTGGAACTTAAGATCATTCGGACTGTGACTAGGCAATTACTTTTGACATAAATTATTTATACATCAAATTATACTCTGTGGGTCAGTCAATCACAAAACAAACAGTTTGTGCAGTCTGTGGCTGGACTAGAACCTGCCTCTCTTAAACTAACTTCCAAATCCATTATTTCCTTTTCCAAAATGATGTCAAGACTCATGTGCAGCCCAGAGGCTGGAACAGAAGCACGGTTGTATCTTCTGCTGAGCAGGACGAGCTGGTGTGGCTCCAGTACCTTGAATGAAAGAGACCTTTTGAAGGACCTGTGAGGGCTGAGACAACTTTCTCCCACCCAAATACAAGGACTTTTTGTATCTAAACTCCTTGACCTACCATAGAGCACATCTGTAAGGCAGTGTCCACCAAAGAGTTTTTCCCTGAGGCTATAGCATGTTTTTGAAATGTGCATTTCCGGACTACAACAATATTAACATGATAAATGCTTGGAGGAACATTTCATTACATATAAGAGCTCTCAAGCACTCACAGCTGGGCGTTGTCAAAAAAGTACCTGGCATTTTCAGCTGGCTTAAAATGTTTTGGTGGACACACAAGCTAAGTTTAAAATGTCCTTATATCACCCACCTTATGTTTAAAACATTGATTGCATGTGCAGTACAGAACGTCACAATAGAAGGAGTTTGCTTTCCAGTTCTTGCCCACTTTTGTCACCTCAATCCCCCAAACACTAAGGCACCTGAACAGCTCAGGACTTGGGCATGTCCAGAAGAGTCTGGACAAGGGTTTTGTAGCTCCAGACTCTCTCTGAGATTACTGGAACAGACATTGGTACAAATCGTAAGGAGACAAATTCCTAAAGCTTTGTCTCAAAACAAATGGGTCAGTCATTTACAGATTCCACAACCGAACAGAGCGCAAGGAAAACATGGATTATCCTCAATATAACACAGCACTACTAAGATTCCAGTTCAGAGTCCAACTGTTTAATCCAACAGTTATTTACTTTAGTTTACTGAAAATAAAAGCTCTTAGACCAATACCTCTCCCTTTACAATGCAATGTTTTGCACATACACAGAGTCAGAAAACCCAGCATGTTGAAAGAATGATATATCAGTATTATACTGGTTATCCACTAAAATTCAAGATTTTCAGTATATGGTTGATATTATTAGATATTTAATCATGCATGCTTACATACCCTATTTTTACATTTAGAATATCTTTGCAATTATTTAATGTTCACTTAAATTTAATTTTTAAAAACACTAAAAATTGTTTAATATGTTTAGCAAATCTCAAAATTAATATCCACTTTTTACTGAAAATTATGTTTTGATGCCTAAATTCACTTGTAGAAGATAAAACAACTTATTTTATTTTATTATTATTTAAAAAAAATAATACAGACAAAATTGTATTGTCATTTATGGGTTATACTTTGTAAAATCAACAAAAAAGCCCAAGTTATATTAAATACTAGTGATGTCTCCCTAGTGACATCTGCTCTAATGATGTTTGCATATGTATGCATTTAAATATGGCTTTAAAGGAACTCGGCTCTATTTTTGAAAATAGGCTCATTTTCCAACTCCCCTAGAGTTAAACAGTTGAGTTTTACCGTTTTCGAATCCATTCAGCCGATCTCCGGGTCTGGCGTTAGCACTTTTAGCTGTAGCTTAGCATAGATCATTGAATCTGATTAGACCGTTACCATCTCGCTCAAAAATTACCAAATGACCAAAAAATTACTATTTTCAAAAATAGTAACGTGTTCCTTTAAAATGCCAGTACACAATTTTTTTTTGCTGTAAAGCTGTTATACAAATAAAGTATACTAAAAATGAATTGAATAAAGACCTTTTTACCTTTAAGGTAGGCCAGGCAGTACTAAATCAGTATGAGAGATCAGTAACTGAGGGTCATGTAATGGAATTTAGAACCACGTCCAAAGTTAAAGCCTGATCCACTGGGTTTCCCCCTTTGATATGATGAGGAACAGCTAGAAGTGCTTTCTCAATGACAACAATAGGCTGGCACAAGGTGACAGGCTACAATAAAAAAACAACAACAACCGTGTAATGCTCATTGCAATGTCTTACATCAGATGATTTATTGTACATGATTTTGGTGGTGGTATTAAATTAACAAATCTCTCATGGTCTCTCATGACCGGTTTCAGCTAATCTTTTGGATGATTCCTTGACCTGAAGAAACTCAACAGCCAAGACAAACAGAGTTAATAAATCCAAGTCATGCCAGGATTAGGCACAGATATTCACCAGGCCCCATATCTCAAATATTAAGATCCAATCCTCACTCATTAATGCAGTAATTGTTCACCGCATAAGACGATTAGGCATGTCCACAAGTATAGTTCTGGCCTCACACTTTTTAAATCAAATAAATAGCAATAAAAGAAAAGAAAAGAAAGTATAACACAACTAGTAGCTGTGTTAATTAAAAAAAATAAAAAATAGCCAAAAAGAGTTCTTAGTAAACCACTTGTATTCTCAAAAGCTGAACGTTTAGGATGAGTTTCTAGCCATTGCTCTGACTACACAACTGAGTCTTTCTACTACTTTCTCTGTTCCCTTCTAATCAAGTCTTCCTTTCAAGATTTAGGCCGGATA